TGTGGAAAGAGAATAAGAGCTGCCACCTGCTGGATTCCTGAAATATTGCAACAGCTTTAAACTCGAATACAAGTGTGTGTGTGTGTGTGTGTGTGTGTGTGTGTGTGTGTGTGTGTGTGTGTGTGTGTGTGTGTGTGTGTGTGTGTGTGTGTGTGTGTGTGTGTGTGTGTGTGTGTGTGTGTGTGTGTGTGTGTGTGCTGGAGAAGTTTGGTCTACAACGTGAATCATTTTCAATGAGGGGCCCAGAAATTTTTATTTACTATTTAAAAACGAAAAAATTGTGAAAAATAAACATCTTTCAACAAAAGAAATTTAATTTTTTTCTGTCATAATTAAAATGCTGCAAAACACAGAGAGAAAGAAAATGTGAAGGAAGTGTTCTCTTGTGCCGCATTAACACACAACTAAACACTCCATAAAGCCGCACCAGTGACTAACCTAACCCTAACCCAGTCACACCTCATCAGTGCTGCGACGCTTAAAACCGACTGACTCGACGTCACAACGCACCGTGCAAGACTAGCACAAGTGAAAAGTCAGGAGTGCAAACAGATCCACGTGGACACGCGTATTTGCTCCACACACATTCATTGACCTCAGACGTGGTTTTGCAGTGCCTGATTTACAATGTTAGTTAAAAACAGAAGAAGCACACGATGAGAGGGGATGATGGATGTATGGAAAGTGAAACATGATCCAGCGTGTCTGCGGTGAGGTTAAGGTGTCTGACTGCTGCCATTACTGTTGATTAGCTAACCTTTAGGACTCCAGACGCCGGTGTTTAATAGGTGGAAGGATTCCTTCTCAGTCTTTCTGACAGAAAATCAATAGACTGATAGAAAAAGAGACTTAAAGAAAACAATCATCCTGCCCTCCTATGTGTGAGTTGTGAACATGTGTATTTAAAAATCATTTAAAGATTCTGGCAAATATGACATGAAACACTCTGTGACAATTATTGTTATTTTCAAGGGGATGATGATGATGATGATGATGATGATGATGATCTCCTCTATTTGTGTTTTTTTTCTTTTGTAAACAACAATTCAGCCCTTAAGGTACAATAAAAAAACTTTTTGCTTTGTTTACTATTATTATCTAAAAAAAATCAAATAAAAATGATTATTAATGAGTTAAATAAAAATGAATGACAACAATAAAATACATTTAATTCAAAATTAAGTTTTTTATGGGATTGTGATGATGTAAAATGGTAATCTTTTTAAAACTAAATAAAAATCTCCAGTTAAATTAACCTGGTGGGAGTAGATAATGAAATTCTTGCAGGTAAAATAAATGTTTACGTTACTTCACATTTTATATAACGAATCTCTTTTCATATTTTCAAACTTAGCCAGGACTTATCTTTTGAGAAACATGAAGGGTGTATTGCAACACACTCATATTTCTAAGGTTTAGTTTGGTGGAGGCCTTTCTGTAGAGTTTCAAGTTTCCTGGGCAATTTTATTCAAGTAGTCTGTAGCGTCTGCTAGACTTGTAACGTGGCCTTTGCCTGATTTAAAGGCTGCAAGCCTCCTCATGAGGAGGAAAAGCATCAAGTGTGTTTATCTCCATGTTCCAGGGAACTGTTAGAGCTGTTTAAAATCCAACAACAGTCTCCAGGTCTATTTTAAAACCCTTCAAACAAATTTACATTGATTAAAATGTAACCAGTAAATACCAGTGGTGACTGGTTTAATGCTTTGTACAGTTGATCTGACAGATCTTCATGCTAATGCTCTCTATAGTTTGCTGGTCTTTATGTAAAGCGATAACAGCAACCATTAATAGTCACATGAAACAACAAAACAAGCTGTGGGATAATGACTTCAAATGAATCCAGCGTGAGGACGCAGCGCTGTATCTGGGGACTGGTGTTGTGCTGTTGAATTGATTTTCTCATCAAACAGAATTATGTGTGCTCTTCTTTCTCACCCAAAGCGTTACTATTTCATTTGTTCAGGTTCAGTTCACTGGGACACTCCTGACGCATCCCCGGTATACTGGAGAAATACAGAAATCACACACACACACACACACACACACACACACACGCACACACACACACACACACACACACACACACACACACACACACACACACACACACACACGCACACACACGCACGCACACACACACACACACACACACACACACACACACGCACACACACACACATGCACACACACACACACAGGCACAAACACACAGACACAGGCATGCGCACACACACATGTACAGACACACAAATGGACGCACAGAAAAACACACATGCACGCAGGCACACACACACAAACACACGCACACATACTCACACACATGCACACCATGCACGCATACGCATTTCAACACTTGATTGCACGCTCACACACACACATGTACACACACACACACACACACACACACACACACACACACACACACACACACACACATGCATACACGTGCGCATGCACGCAGACCCACACACACAAAAACATATTTACACACACACACACACAAATACACACACACACACACACGCACACATACACACACACACACATGCACACACACACACACACACACACACACACACACACACACACACACACACACACACACACACACACACACGTCTCTAACCATAATTACATGAAAAAAACATATTTTCAAATACACACATAATAACTGGTATGCGTGCTGTTACTGTATCACTAAAGCCGTGGGCTATCTGTGCATGTTTCACTGATGGGAATAAAAACGTGCAGCACAAATATCGACGTGTATGAGATTATAGGAAACAGGACGGCAGACACATACGACAGAGAAATGAGTGAACATGATGAGCTTTGGCAGCTTTAAACAGGCCAATGAAAACCTGATCTGTTAGTCTGACATCTGGTGGGTCTGGAAGGATCGTTTTAGGATCAATAATAGAAAGAGAAAGCCCCTCCACCTCAAAATAAATAAATAAACACCACTTATTTTTTTTCTTCACTGATTTTAGCCCTGTGTTTTTGTAGAACTAAACTCTAATTCCCAGCTTTGTTTACTGTAAAAGTTATAGAAATGTTACTTTAACTTTAAAATTTATGACGTTTCTATCAAAGTTTTATTTGTTTTCTATTAACAAAGAAAGACATTTTCTTCATTTTTCTACATGATGTCATCTTTCTTGTCCACAGATGAGATTAAAGGGACATTGCAGTTAGGGTTGGTGAGGGGTGGGTGGTCTCTCTAATGGTGTTATCGGTACTTACTCTATTTGGTCCATTAAAAAAATAATAATAATAATAACTTGTCCATTTTTTTAATGTTTGATTTTAATCTGACAATCATGTGTTAGCACCCATGTTGCTCTCAGCTAGTCAAAAAAGACCCAAGGACTTTGGCTCGCTGACATTTTGGCAGATGACTAGAAGTTTCAGCACCAACTCCTAAACCCGTAATAGTTGAACTTCTTCATTAATGTTTGCGAAAGAACAGCTTAGACTGTGTTGGAAACTTGTCCTCCTGCCCAGTCCAGCAGATCCACCAGCAGGCTGAAGGCCCTCATGTGTTTGTTTCTTCATCTAGAAAACGTTTTAACTCAAAGAGAGTTACAAGTTGCCTAACATGCTTGTTAATGGCCTGTGGGACCCACACGCAAACATTCAATCTCAATGCAGAAAGGCTGCAGCTGGGATTTGAACCTTCCACCTTGTTGTTGTCGGGCAGCAGGACTGCTGTGGTTTGTGGTGATGCGCTGTGTTGTGTTTGCAACTTCCTGTGTGTGAATAGAAACCAAACCAGAGGCAAAACAGCTACAAAGTAAAATGATACCCCAACGTGGAGCTGATCTAACAGCTGTCCTAAAGCCGGCTCTACCATCAACACCAGGTATTGCAGAATAAATTTCCACCAAATTCAAAAACAGATAATTTATTAGCTTTCAAATCTAATTTGCTGTAATTTTCAGAAAGTTTCCCATCATCCCAAATGCTTCCTGATATTTCCTGTCATCGTCTCAGTCCGGCTCTGTTTGTCTTTGCAGACCACGTCTAGCTACAGATTAGCCAGTATCTTTTTCTGATAACTTGTTAGTTGTCCAACCTCCCACTCAACCTCCCAAGTATTCCACTCCCCTCTGTATCTCACCTCTCCTAGTCCCCTATTTCCTTGTATGTCACCCTCCTCAATGAGACCCCCCACGCCAGCAGCAGATTGCAGCGCTATCAGCCTCTCCTCCCCAATCCCCCGGTCACTCTTTAGGTTTCAAACTCCATTTGGCTGATCTAAAGGCCTCTGCTTGCCAGCCGACTCTGAAATAGTTTGGACAGTTGTGGACGGCTTGTTGGAAGGGCAGCTGTCACATATCCCCCTCATGTATTCATCTTACATTGATTAATGGAAAAAGGGGGTCACAGGTCAACCTTTTATTATTGAAGAAGGTTGACCTGAAAACAAATAAATACTGACACACTTCTTGTGTTTCTTTCTGCCCCCTCCCTGACTGATATTTGACTCTTAAGCTCAAATAAATAGTCAATAGTTAAACTCTTGTGTATTTCTGTGACAGTGGACCATAAGGACACACGTTAAATATTTGATGAGGTGCCATTGGAGAAGGTAAAAATCTGATGTCCGTCACTGACAAAGGGCCAACAGGAATGCTGTGTTCAACAGCTTCTTCAGCAAGTTTTACTGTGTTGGACATACTTTTGGGAGCGCAGCATCGATTATGACCAACTGTCCTCTCTCCACCTGAAACCTGGTGATTTTCATTTTGGTTTTAAAGGGTCCGAAAATCCTTCCACGTTCAATTTTTTGGATTTTAAATTTTTACCCAAAGATATTTTTCACGACATCAGACGACATCAGACTTTACTGCAATGCTGAGCTTCTGCTACAGTTCAGATGGATTGGGATTTTTATCAAGCTAAATCCACCCACATGTCGGCTTCATCAGAACTTGATTCCCGGCCTTCACTGGAGCGGTCCACAGCCGAGTGTGAAGCAGCTGGGATGAGAATCAGCACCACTAAATCCGAGACCATGGTCTTGAGTCGGAAATGTGTAGAATGGCTTCTCCGGGTCAGGGATGAGGTCCTGCCCCAAGTGGAGAAGTTTAAGCAGTCCTTTTTACACCGGGAGAGTCTTGGCCTCTTGGCTGGACTCGCCAGATCACAAAATCCCTCGAGACTTCAGGTTATGGTTTGTGTACGCAATCCGCCAATGAATCAAAAAGAAGGAAATCACGTTTGATATTGCTGTTTGTGCTTGATGTCATATGTGATGTTGTTCCTCTCCACTGCCAGGATTAAAGCCATGAAAACACACTGCTGCTATTCTGGAACAATGCTGGGAGTAAATAAGCTGTTGGGTCACACGTAAGCTTCATATATATGAAATAGCATCGCTGCTGTACTTTTATTTAGAACATTACCGGGGATTTTACTCTGAAACCGTGTGTGATTTCCTGTCTAGCGCTATGCTAACTGCGGATCATGATTAGTCCCAGAAGCGGCTCGTGGCAAAAGTAGAACCTGATCCTATCTTTATCGTCTCGGCTGCTTTCAAACATTCCATAGACTATAATGGGTTCTATTAGAAGCAGTGACGTTTTGTTGCCGTTCCACAGTGCTGAGGCCTTCAGTGTGAAACTGCATTTAGAGATAGGGTGGGAAGCTCTGTCATCCAGGGGGGCTCAGAGTAGACCTGCTGCTCCTCCACAAAGAGAGGACCCAGTGGAGGTGGCTCAAGCATCTGGTTAGGAAGCCTCCTTGGTGTGTCATGGTTCTGCTTTTTCTCTGTGGCTGTGCTCCTGAGTGTTTGCAGGTGAGCAGGTTGGAGAGCCGCAGCTGCAGCTGATTATCATCCAGCCAGGCCAGAGGATATAAGGAGCGGTGTTGCCACACTTCAGTGCTGGTTGATACTCTATTGTTGGGTACTCTAGCTCTCCTCGTTCCTCTTTGACTCTAGTCTCGTGTTTTTCTCCCGTGTGCTCAGTTTTTGCTCTCCTTGTCTGCTCCAGTACCAGCCCTGGATTCTTACCCTCAGCTTCCTGCAGTCTGAAGTGGATATATTTCCCAACGCCGCTCAACTCCTCTGGTCTCCCACTCTCCACCTCTCACCTGTCCTGGATTACTCCTTTGCCTGCTACTCCTCTCCACCAGACCATCTCCAGCTCAGACCTGACTTGCCTCCCTCTCCAGCTCAGACCCACACTTCGTACAGTAAGACTCCACCTCCATTACTCCAGTGTTTTCTTGGTTCTCAGTTTTCATTTTTGCTATCTTCTGTTTTAGAATCAGAACACCCTCCTGGCCCAGTTTGGATCGGCGCTTTTCGTTTTCATTAATTTTCTTTATAATAAAAACATATTTTTCTCACCTCCTCGTGTGATTCTTTCATGTGGGTTAGAAAACTTCAGCCCAACATGACATGGTGAGGTTTTCTGGATACATCCAACTAGGAGGAGGCCCAAAGGAAAACCCAGAACACGCTGGTGGGAAACGTATTGGGATTTCCCCGGAGGAGCTGGCCCAAGTGGCTGGAGAGAGGGAAGTCAGGGCCTCTTTGCTTGGGCCACTGCCCTCATGACCCGACTCCAGATAAGCAGACGAGAATGGATGGATGGATGTAGGATTCCCCTTAAGGTTAGGTAAATCTGTAAAGAATGTTTTAAAATGATTATGTGGCCTTACTTTTGTCAGTGCGCCTAAGGGCAGCTGTCGCCTCAATGAAGCTTTTCAGTATGCGTGTGTGTGGGTGAATGAGCTGTCTATTTTGCCACATTGTCTTTATTACACAAATTAGTTAAAATCTCCGAATTTTAGCTTTTAAAAATATGTCTTTATTGAAGTGGGGCTCTAAAAACGCCGGGTGATGGTAGAGGAAGGCGTTACTTCCAACACGACCTACTGTGCCTAACCCGTCAGGCATACATCTGCCCGGCTCGATGCTCAGCATCTCCTTTGCTGATTGGCAGTAATGCTATTTAATCAAATGTCAAACAGCGCTGGTTTACGATACACCAGCCAACCTTTGAAACGGCGTTCAGGTGAAACGTGTGTACACTAACTGCACAATGCAGCTCAAGCACACACTTTGAATGCTTTTACCAGGTGGTCAGAATATTGTGTCGATTATTTTGAGCCAATTGACAAATGTTGTTCCATTTATTTTCTGTGCATGTGTCAATGAAAGCGGAGGGAGAAAGTCATCACTTCACATCTGGTTTATGTACTTGTCATTTATTCGATGTCTGCGGAGTATAACCCAGAAAACCATTCTTACATCTCAAAAACTCCCTTGCCATTTCAGAAATAATTGGCCGTCTGCTGAGCAGACTCCACATCCAGCCGATTTTTTTCTTTTCCACCAAGCTGCCACAGCTGACCCACTCCCTCTTTTCCCTTTACTGCTGACAGTGTGTCAACATGTCCATGTCAGCAACAATAACAATAAAACAGTTGGGAGTGAATGATTGAGATCTCATGCTGGTCCGGTGCCATACAAGTTACTTTACAATGAAATACAGCTGGTTACACACTCCAGTCTTGTACGGTGCAATAGATTGTGTTGAACCTCAGGCTACGGCGTCTGGGCTTTCACACCGAAGTTACGGCGTTTCATTGAATATTTATATATCTTGATTTTTCTGTAAAATAATTGCTCTCATTAAGCTTGATGCTCTTGCTTTAGTGTTCTAGCGCATAGTGTAGTGTGTGTGTGTGTGTGTGTGCCTAATACAGTAAAACTTACTGCATTTTGACGTTTATCCTCATGTTGAAACAAGTCAAATTCACACACACACCAAGAACCGCTGAGCTAAGGGGAAATTAGAACAAGCTCATTGACTGTGTTTTGATTTCCTCCCCAGGCTCACTTCTTTCATTATCTCCTCATTTGTTCCTGTCCCCAAAGTGGATTGCTGCATTACACACCTCCTTTCAATCTCAGCAGCTGTCACAAAACTCCTTTTTTTTTCAACTGAAAAAAAGGAAAGAAAGGATGAAGGTAAATAATTGCAGTCGTCATGGCTTTTGCTCAAATGAAAACCTGTAGTGAAGTAATGGCAAAGGAAACAAAAGCACACTCAACTGAACTTTGTAAATGTTATTGGTGCATCCAGAACTTTTTTGTTTAACAAATAATACAATTTCCAACATTCTCTGCAGCTTTATCTACTTCATAAGAAGTTTGACCAGATTGTTTTAAATGTTTATTGACAGACTTTTCTTTCTTTTTTAATTAGGAAACTTCTTTGAGCCTCTGTATAGCATATGGGACTTTGCTGGGGCTCAAAATGGCCCAGGAGATCTGATATATGGCCAAACATAACTCCATAAAAAATCCCTACAAAGGAAAGACCACTTCTTCCGTTGTCGGTGCAGGATCTGCTCGGGGTCCTTCGACTGCCGATGACATCAAAGTAGTTGATTGGCTGAACATGAAGCTTACGGAAGTGACGTTATCACGTTATGATTTTGATTGGTCAGAACAAATTTGCGGTTGTAGTCTTAGCGGTTGTAGTCCTGTAGTACAAAAATCAACACTTTTTGGAGAAAATATGTTTGAATTTCTAAAGAAAATGTAAAATATAAGCAAATGATAAACAGTGACCCTCAAAAGCTCTTGATGTTGAAGAAATGGGGCAAAATAAAATATAAGAACTTTATTGAAAGACTCCAAGCAATATTTTGAGTCAAATAATGTATTTATTTAACAACTAAGGAAATATGCAGACGAACTTCACATTAACACAAACAGATGTGGCTTCACATATAAGAACTGTTGTCTTTTTTGTCAGTCCGATGTTGGTTTTATGCAGTTTCACATTCTTTACAAAACAAAGATAATATGGTGTTTTATTAACAAATTACAATCATGAAGGAAACATTTAGGTGTTAACAAACAAGAATTTATTAACAAAACTGCTGATGTCTTTCCAAAACCTGTGTGTGTGAAAGCCGAGTAGATTTGCAGTAATGTGACGTCATCGGCAGTCGAAGGACCCCGAGCCGATCCAGTACCCGAACAGATCCTGTACCGACACCGGCTCTTGGAGAGTACAGAAACTTTTTACCTCCTCTCCTCCTTATCTTATCCCCAAGGCTCTTTGTCTGTCTTTGGGTGTACGGAGCTTTATTAAAAATGGATCTGGTCAGCTGGTCTCTCAACGCGATTGACAAACTTTTGTCAATGATGAGAACGGGGAGAAGGGGCTCCCGGGTGCCCCTCTGGGACAGATCCAGTTGGGTATATCATGGACTCCTGGAAATAGTGGAACCTGATCTGCCTCTCTCAACTGTCTGTAGAGGATTCTGAAGATGTCTGGATATTCGTGGTGTTGTTGTCAGGTTTCCTGCTCTTTGGCCTTAGAGGTTACCTGACTTACAGGAAAATTAACGAGCTGTCGAGGAATATTGGCTCACTTCCGGAGCTCAGAGATGGATTGCACCGCGCTGTGAATTCACAGACTCATATAATTGTCGAGATGAGTCGTAAGCTTGGAATTTTGGCTGAGATTCGTGTGTTGGCACAAAAGATGAAGGCCATCAAGGAGCGAGTGGATGAATCAGCACGGATTGGGATGGATTAATCTACGCCAGAGGTAAATGTGTAAAACAACGTTTATTATTGGTGAAAGTTATGTATCCATTTGTTACAAATCAGTAAATGTGTTTTGTCCTCACATGCTCCCTTAGAAGTAAACATGGCATCCAATATGGCATGGCGTCGCTCAGAGACTTAGACCCGCTCCATGTATTTTAAAACAGATTATTATGGCTATATGTTGTGAAACTGCCAACATTTTTCAACAACTGGGCAAATTTTAATTCATTTTAACATTGTCACCTTAAATTTATCAGGAATTCTGCAGCCAGGATCCTAATGAGAGTGTGCAAACATGAGCATATCACCCCAATTGTCCAATCGCTAAAGTCGCCACCCATCTCGGCCAGGATTTAATATAGAGTTTGTCTCCTAACACATCTATGCATCCACAGGACACCCCACTGATCCTGTATGGCGTCATTAGATGAGAGTTCTTCCTACATGTTTAAACTCATTTGAATACTCACCAGCACACACACGATCCTGCTCAAGCAGCTCAAATGGCTGCATCAGTCCTCTATGACCAGTAGTAATAAAATATCTCCAGTGTGCCTTCTGATCAATGGAGGAGAAAAGAGACACAAGCTGGCAGGGTTAATGGGCCTCATTCCACTTAAATGCCATATGAGTGACTCTGGGGAACCAGAGCTGGCAGGAGAGCTGAGGGAGAAAATGGAATGGGAAAGGGACTTTGACTAAATTACGGAAGAAAAGATAAAGAAGGAGAAACTATATATGTAGCAAGAAAAATATGGAATGATCGTGGAAAAAGGAAGATGGGGACAAAAAGGCTGAGAAAAGAGAAAAGGGGAGTAGAAAAGAAAAGTAAAAATGCAGCTCATAGAATGTGTAGTTGGAGAGGAAAAAAACCTGTCACAGGTTAACAAAACGTCCTTTTTTCAATGACCAAGATGGGGTTTTGATCATGTCTTGGATGAATGTAAAAATGAATATTGTAGTTCCTTAATTGCAAGTCAGTGATACTTTGTGCTTTAAACATGCTGAAGAGAATACTGTGTTTGTTTTAAGGAGACACTGTTATAGTTTGATCTGTGGGTTAAAGTGGCTTCTGTGATCTGGGGTAGTCAGCATCTTCCCAGCAGCAGACTTCAGTCAGAAAGTTACATTTGGAGAATCAGAGAGAAATTCTCATGAGAGAATCAGGTTAATAACAAGTCAGGTGTTCAGCTTTCTAAATGCACTTCCTGTGTTCACTGATGAACTCCAAAGCTTTGTCAAGTTTTACCTTAATTTAAAATATTCTTTTGTAACTTGACTTAAGGTCTCCGTGGTCCAGGTCTTGTTACTCTTTAATTAAGACGTGATTCAGAAGGTCCTTTTGCGTCTGATTTATGATCTAATCTGAGCCTAACTTAAATGCTGTTTGGTAATCCAGGAACCTCTCCAAATCATATTAGTTTAGATTTCCTTTGTCAATCCCACCAAATAAATCCCATTTTCCAAAGTTTTCCTATAGATGTATTTATTTATTTATTTATTTATTTATTTATTTATTTATTTTATCAAATAAGAAGAGAAACACAATATGAAACAATCATTTTGTCTTATTAGGATTATGGATTACAGGTGCTGGCCAGTAAATTAGAATATCATCAAAAGGTTGAAAATATTTCAGTAATTCCATTCAAAACGTGAAACTTGTACATTATATTCATGCAATGCACACAGACCAATGTATTTCCAATGTTCATTACATTTAAATTTGATATTTATAGGTGACAACCAATGAAAACATCAAATCTGGTATCTCAGAAAATTAGAATATTCTAAAGGCCAATGAAAAAATGTTTGTTTCTCTAATGTTGGCCAACTGAAAAGAATGAACATGAAAAGAATGTGCATGTATAGCACTCAATACTTAGTCGGGGCTCCTTTTGCCTCAATAACTGCAGTAATGCGGCGTGGCATGGACTCGATCAGTCTGTGGCACTGCTCAGGTGTTATGAGAGCCCAGGTTGCTCTGATAGTCGTCTTCAGCTCCTCTGCATTGTTGGGTCTAGCGTATTGCATCCTCCGCTTCACAATACCCCATAGATTTTCTATGGGGTTAAGGTCAGGCGAGTTTGCTGGCCAATCAAGGACAGGGATACCATGGTCCTTGAACCAGGAGCTGGTGGTTTTGGCACTGTGTGCAGGTGCCAAGTCCTGTTGAAAGGTGAAGTCTGCATCCCCATAAAGTTGGTCAGCAGCAGGAAGCATGAAGTGCTCTAAAACTTCCTGGTAGACGGCTGCATTGACCCTGGACCTCAGGAAACAGAGTGGGCCAACACCGGCAGATGACATGGCACCCCACACCATCACTGACGGTGGAAACTTTACACTGGACCTCATGCAACGTGGATTCTGTGCTTCTCCGCTCTTCCTCCAGACTCTGGGTCCTTGATTTCCAAAGGAAATGCAGAACTTGCTTTCATCAGAAAACATAACTTTGGACCACTCAGCATCAGTCCAGTCCTTTTTGTCCTTGACCCAGGCGAGACGCTTCTTGCGCTGTTTCTTGTTCAAGAGTGGCTTGACACACGGAATGCGACACCTGAATCCCATGTCTTTCATGAGTCTCCTCGTGGTGGTTCTTGAAGCGCTGACTCCAGCTGCAGTCCACTCTTTGTGGATCTCCCCCACATTTTTGAATGGGTTTGTCGTCACAATTCTCTGCAGGGTGCGGTTATCCCTAGAGCTTGTACACTTTTTTCTACCACATTTTTTCCGTCCCTTCGCCTGTCTGTTAATGTGCTTGGACACAGAGCTCTGCGAACAGCCAGCTTATTTAGCAATCACCTTTTGTGTCTTGCCCTCCTTGTGCAAGGTGTCAATGATTGTCTTTTGGACAGCTGTTAAGTCAGAAGTCTTCCCCATGATTGTGGTGCCTTCAAAACAAGACTGAGGGACCTTTTAAAGGCCTTTGCAGGTGTTTTGAGTAAATCAGCTGATTAGAGTGGCAGCAGGTGTCTTCTATATTCAGCCTTTTCAGAATATTCTAATTTTTTGAGATACCAAATTTGGAGTTTTCATTAGTTGTCACTTATG